CTTCTTGAAAGGTCAGTAGGAATAGTGAGTGAATTTTATCCTGGATTATAAAACTGTGTCTCCAGGCAAGTTTGTAGAGCAGAACTAAGTCAGTAAGAGTACAGCAATGAAGAGTGCATATAGCAGCATATTCCTTTGTGTTTCTGTGTATATGTGAGTTGTTGGAACTGATTTGACCAAATGAAAGTAAGTATCTGTAACCGGCTAGCGTTTGCATTTGTAAAGTACAAATATTATTTTGCATTTCATCATTTGCAAAGTGCTTTTTATACATTTTTTCAATGCTACAATGTAGGTAAGGTAGATACCATTTTTGCCTTGTTAATGAGGATATTGAAGATTAGATTTGCATATCCAACTTCTCATGATATCAATAACTGCTATCCTTTATTTTCTCTCAGAAATTAATATTTCAGCTAAATTTTATAAAACAAAAATGCAAAATTTTATTTTCCTTCATAATTCCTTGGGAAATATTTCCACCATTAGCCTCTGGAACAATGTGGGGTGGGGGTAAATATTCTCCAGATAAAATATCCAACATTCATTTATAATCAAAACCGTGATTTCAGTAAGTTTCTCTAATTCAAGTTCCAACTAAACTACAGATGTAAGTATGAGGAAACATCCTGTAACTTACATAGTTCACCATACAGTACTATTGCCGGCCTGTTGTATTTAATTTTATAATGAAGAGTAGAAAACTCTAAAGTGCAGCTGTAGTATTTAACATTTGAATGTACAATAATTACTGAATGCCAAGAAAAAATTGATGAAGGTTACCATTTCTACGACTATGGTCTGCTTTTGTCTTTAAAAGCATGAGACAACATACCATGGAATATTACTTACTCAGCAATCAAAAAAATAAACATGCAATTTGCAGCAACATGGATGGCACTGGAAGGGATCATGCTCAGCAAAATAAGCCAGAAAGAAAAAGAAAAATACTAGATGGTCTCACTCATAGCAGGAATTTAGAAAACCTAAATAAGGGACCAGAAAAAAAGACTGATTATAACAAAGCAAAAATCAAAATCAACAAGCAACTGTAAACCAGAGACACACTACTGGGGGTGGGGGGCGGGGAGGAGGGAGTAGGATTAAAACAAGGGGTGGGGAATTGTATGGGGACTATAACCAAGATGAAAATGCATACATTGTGCAAAAATGAAAAATGATGTAAAATATATAAAATTTTCAAAAAGCATGAGACAAAAGATGGAAAGATTGCTTCAATTGCTCTGAAAGTCTTCTCTCTACTTCTAGTGGAGGACTGAGTTCTCTTGTGATTTTAGCCCATGTTCTAGTAAAAGCAGGGATTCATGTCACTTATAGGTGGAATATAGAGAAACCAAATAAAGGATCAGATAAAACTAAACTTAAAAACTAACTCTTGAAAGCCTCCTCGGTGGCACAGAGATAAAGACACAACCTATGAGGCTATCCGCAGCCACTGCAGCACGAGTTCGATTCCTGGCCAGCCAGGGAGCAACCCACATGGCACAGGAGACCTCTCCTGTCTTGTCCGCTGCTCTCTTGCCCTCAGCAGTGTTCTTCAGTCAATCTGCCTGTTCTGTTCCCCACTCTGTCTCTGGTGAATCCTCTCACCCCCTGCACCTCTGGCCTGTACCCCAGCTCTTGCATGGATAAATAAATAAATCTTAAAAAAAAAACAAAACACAACTAACCCTTGAAAACTGACTATGGAAACGAGGAAATCAGAGGGGGGCAGGGTGAGAAAAAATTGAGAAGCTAGCACAGTGGTCTGTACTGATGGACTCTGGGTGCTTTGCTGATGGGTGTACAATGTTGCAGTAACACTGAAGGGGAGGGTTACTATACTCCTACAATATAAACAAGGATGTGAACCAAAACTACCTCAATTAAAATTTAAAAAAACAAGATAAATGGGGATTCAACTTCAGATCATTATAACATTCTACTGGCATTAATTCCCACAACTATTTCACTGAGAAAGAATGGAAATTTTTCGTTGTTGTTCTGGGTTTTTTTTTGGTGGCTTAAATGGGAAATCATTACATTGGGCTAAAAATTAGATCAAGGATTGAGTGGTGGATCAAATGCATTTTTCTAGGAAAAATGTTAACAGTAATTTTTGCTTCTTAAATGTTTAAAGGCTAGCAGCAAATCTGTTTTCTTCAAGTCATATTCTATCTCAAAAAGTCATATATCAATTTATCAACTCTACTCCCCACCCGTTACTTTTTTAATATAGTTAACAGAAAAAAGCACCAAGTCCAGAGGCAATTTCAATACTAGGCCCCAGTCAAATTTCTGCTCGGAATGTTCAGAAAAACATTTCTGAAATTCCAGGACTCAGAGATATAAACTATGCTAAAGTCCATCTTGTGAAATCCAATGATGACTCTCTGACAATTACAAAGGAGCCGCTACTGCCCTGTCACAGGTCTTCTCTCATACTGAGATTTATAATTAAACAACAAGATACACCTGGAAGATAGGGAACTCTAGGAACCTGCCCAAGGTTGCAATTTATATACCTTGGCGTGCTGGGCACTGTAGCTTTGTACTGCTTAGATCTTGGTTTTAAAGGAAAACAAAGGGTGGCGGGGGTGAGAATGTTTTACCCATTGATTTAAAAATATTGCCTTTTTTAGGATTGCAAGCATTTCTTAGGCTTAAAAATATATTTTATGTTTACTTACTGAAGAATTATTTCACAACCAATTCCTTCCAGGCTTATTGAAAATTGAAAAAAAAGAGTGAAAATTTCTATTTTTACATTTTTTAATCCTTTCTCTGTCTTTCCAAATATTTGGACTAGAACCAGACAAGTTATTTTGCTGTCTTTAAAGTTGTTTTCATCCATTCACCATTTTTTTTTCTTGCTCCTTTTTACTCCATATTCTTTAAATTGTGCACTGAGAAATTCCAAGGACCATTTTGTCAATGATTGAAAATCAATTTTTGTTTTCAAAGGGCTTTTGCATCATCCTAAAGCTGAGGCAAGCTTGAACCACACTGGCAAAACATGAAACAGAAAATAAAGGCGTCATTCCCATTTCAAAGTCCCTTTCATGACACACTTCGAATAAATTACAAAGAATACAAAATAAGGTTTTCTCTGATGGGAAACAAGTACACTTCACAATATCTTTTACAAAGTTAGTAATTTTGGAGGGCACTTTCTTCTCTAAAGGAATCTAACACACTACAAAATTCAAACAATTTTATCATAAAGAGATGAGCCTTCTCCTAAATGGTGGAAGCAACACAGAATCCAAGGCTGTTAGAAAATCTCCTCTCCTTTGTCAGACTTATTTTAAAAGTTCCATGCAAGAGTAAGTGGACCAGTTCCATTTATGATTTTCATACATCTCTGCAATGCATAGAGAACAGTTTTGAGACAGTGTTCTGACTCAGTTGTAAAACACATAAAAAAATTTCAAACAAAAAAGCAGTTCCTGAGCAGAGTGATTCTCAAACATCAGCATCACTCAAGCAGCAACTACAGGGCTTGGCAAAACAGAAATTACTGCGCTCCATCACCATAGCTGGTCATTCAATATGTTTTCTTTTCTTTCTTTTCTCTCACTCTCCCTCCCTCTCTCCCCCTCTCTCTCAAGATTTATTTTTATACAAGAAGCATGGTACAGGCCAGATGCGTGGGAGGGTGAGAGGATTCACCAGAGACGGAGCAGGGAATAGAACAGGCAGACTTACAAAATACACCGCTGAGACGAGCAGCAGGTGAGACAGGAGAGTCTGCTTCTCCACGTGGTGTTCTCGATGGCCGGCATCGAACCCGTGCTGCAGAGGCTGAGGACAGTGTCACAGGGCAGTGCGCACCCGCCTGCACCACCAGGGAGGCCCCTCAATTTTCTTTCTTTTTTTTAGCACCAAAGTGCTTTTTCAAATGAAAATCCTATCCTCTTTTGTTCACTTTTTTTTAAAAGATTGATTTATTTATGCATACAAGAACTGGGGTGTAAGCCAGAGGTGTGCGGGTGAGAGGATTCACCAGAGACAGAGTGGGGAACAGAACAGGCAGACTGGCTGAAATACACTGCTGAGGGGAGCAGCAGCAGAGGGCGAGTCAGGAGAGGTCTGCTGCACCATGTGGGTAGCTCCCTGGCCAGGGATCGATCTTGTGCTGAAGTGGCTGCGAATAGCTTCATAGATTGCGTCTTTACCCTTTGCGCCACCAAGGAGGCCCTTTTCACTATTTTTTTTTAATAAAAATGTTTAAACACAAACTTGAAAGAATATTCAGTGACCATTTGCATAGTTATCATCTACACTATATAATTACCCTTTTACTGTCTTTGTATTATTGAACATCGATTCATCTTTCCATTTCTCTGTCCTTTCTTTCTTTTCACTGGAATATTTATTTGCTTTACTCCACCGAGATAACATCGGTTTACAACACAGTATATAATTTACAGGAACAGGTTTCCACCTCAGCTGTACCGCACCACCCCACAAGCCCCCCACAGTCCCTTTCTCTAGACCCTGGTCTCCCTTCCCTCTTTGCGGCAAACCTCCTCCTCCCTCCCTAGAAGCTTCAATTTCTATTTCCAGTTGGTTTTGGCTTTTATTCTTTTTTGCTGGTTTGCTTCCTCTAGGAATATTCACTTCCAAACAGACTTCCCAGTAATGAGGCCGTTGCTTCCCTTGGGCTCCACTCAGAATTTCCGACCTAGTCTCATCCCGACCACGCGGGGGGAAGGCTGCGTGTCTCGCTTCTGCCGAAGGCCCCATCCCCTTAGGGTCAGGTGGCATTCAGGGTCCGGTGGTATTCAAGGAAGCCGATCTCTGTGGGCTTGGCCGGAGCATGAGCCTCCCAGGCCAACCCTCAACTCAGGGCAGGTAATTTCCAGACGGCCGCGGACGGCCTGGGCAGCCACGGGCTCCGGAGTCTGCGTTCGCACGTGACCGCCCGGCGTCCGCCCCGCGCCTCCTCCCACCCCCGGGCACAGACGGAGCGTCCCGGGCCCCGGCCGCGGCGCGCAATGGCGCGGCTGAGCGCGCTCCTCTGCTGCCTGCTGGTCAGTTGGCGCGGCCGCCCCGGCCTCGGGCTGCCCCTGGCGCCCGCGAGCTTCCAGCCTCCGGCTCCGGCGCTGGGTGAGTCCCCTGCCCGCCCCTCCAGCCCCTCCAGCCCCTCCTGCCCCTCCTGCCTCCTGCCCCTCCTGCCCCGAGGCGGCCGCGGGCCGCGCGCTGCGCCTGCGCAGTCGGGAATGGTGCGTGGCCGCGGCGGCTGGCGACGGCGGGGCTCGGGCGCGCGGGGCGCGCGGGGCGCGCGGCTGGGCCCTGGGGCACTGACTCGAGGCGCTAGGGGCACAGCTCCAGGGACGCGCGGCCTGATTTGTACCCCCTTCCATTGTTTACGCTTTGTGTCTTGGGGGTATTTTGATTTCAGAGGAAGGAAGGAAAAACTCCCTGTCTTAAAAAATATAAAAAAGAAAAGAAAAGAAAGAAAAGAAAGGAGAGGGTGAAAGAGAAGAGAGAAAAGCTGGGAGGCAGGGAGTGGCAAGGCTCACTCCCAGCTGTCACTAGTATGTCCTGCCTGCACACTTGCTCTGGAGTTTCTGCTCCACTTCTGGGTATCTTCTGGCCTGCTCATGGGGCTCGGTGGCCTTTGCATCCAGCTCCCCCAGCACAGTACAGCTGGCCCTAGTCTCTGTGCTGCACACTGTTCACTCTGCCTTGGAACCCTGGGGCTTCCTTTCACTTTGCTTGGATGCACCAGGGCTCCTCGCCGCAGGGGATCAGGTTTTTTCGTTCCCAGTACTTAGCCCAGTGCTGGTGATGATTCTCAAAGTGTGGTCCAGGGCAGCAGGATCAGCAGCATCAAAACTTGTTGAAATCCAACTTTTCATTCCTATCCTAGACCTACCAAATCTGAAAGACGAGATCTGTTTAACAAACTTTCTAGGTAATTCTGATAGATTCTAGAATTTGAGAACCGTAGGCCTTAGTAAATGTTGGGTGACAGATGGTTATGATGCCCTGCGAGCCTTCAGTTTCAAAGATCCAGATTTCCCTACCTCTCGACTCCTTTTTAAAAATAATTTTTATGTTATTTAGAGTGGGGAGTTAGGTGGAGCTCTGCCTTGTGTTTTAGACATAAAACTCAGTGTCCCAATGCTTAGGGCTGAAACTTCCTTTCTTTGCTGATTTGGTCTGCTCTCTTGCAGGGCTTCTGAAATGCTCTGGAAGAAATGCCTCTGCTTTGTCAGAGAGCCAAGTGCTCATGACTCAGCCCTATCAGGCAGTTGAAAGCAACAAATGTAAATCCGGTTTCCCAATGTCAGTCAAAACAAGAAGTTGCTAAGACTTATGCATGCTGATTTCTGCTCTTATTAAAGCTAGATTTGTGTTTCTTTAATAATGTGACCATTTAAGATTTTGAGATAAAATGTCTCAGTTGTAGATCACCCAATGGCAAAGTAAGTGGCCTTTTGGTTTTAGGGATCTGATTGCTGAAGGCCTCAGCGACAACTTTCTGGTGTCTGGTAAATCTCCACTTCACATCTCCCTCTGTGAAGCTGGTATAGCTGTAGGGAAGTGAACTGGAGCCAGGGTAAGGGAGAGCGGTAATTAGGGTTCAAAGACCCACTGAAGTGTAATCGCAGTAATTTCCTGTTGGAGAGATCCTACTTGCTGTCCCTTCCCCCACTCCAGCCCCAAATGCTTGGACTCAGTTTACAACATACATCCTGATTGGCCCCTGCTTACTTATTGTGCGTGGGTGGTGGCAGAGAAGGCAAATTTCCAGCCCATGCTTCTTCGGTTCTGACAAGTCCTGGTGGTCAGAGGACAACTCAGGGAAACTTCACATAAGTGTGCTTAGTCACAGCACTTTAAATTTAATAGGTCAGGACCTACCGAGTATATGGTAGCAACTAAATTATAAACAAATAAAACACCTATTAAATCACGACTGTTTATCCAAATTTCTCAATTTACTAGGCTCTTCAGAATACATTACAAAGTTTTTAGATGAATTGTAAGACCTTTCTTAATACAAGTTTGAGTATTAGATACGTTGGCAGCTTACACATGTTCACATGCATTTGTGGAAATCTTTTCAAAGATTATCTGCAGAACAAGAAAGTAATTGTGTAATGAAAAGAACTTTGGACTGGTAACCCAAGAATGTGGTTTCGAGTGTGAGCTCTGGCACAGGCCAGGTCTGTGGCTTTGGAACACAAACTGCAGTGCGTTTTGTATACAATTTCATTGAAGGTGGGAGGTGAGGCTTCCAGCGATTAATTAGTTATTCATCAGAACCTGTCAGGTTTCTGTTCCTGGCTTCTATTTGAAGATACCCTTCCCTGAATCTAAATAATTACCCCCTGATTTATGTGCCTGGCAATCCACTGTAGTAGAAAGGGCACTGTACTGGATGTCTGGAGAGACAGGTTCCAGTTCAGCTTTCATTATTGAGTCACCGAGTGATCTTAATTGTATCTAAAGAATGTTTGTTGAGGACCCACTGTTCTAAACGCTGGGGATATATAAATCTAGGCACTAGGTTACATTGGAGGGATGTGTCCTTTAAGTGTTTCTAGTTTTGGTTCACAAAATTTAATATATTTATAACCTTGTGTCCCTTTGTCATCACAACATTTCAGGTAGATGTTAGCATTATCTATTTTGCCTGGAGCAAGTGAGACTAGATACTTGAAGGAGAGCACACACAGGCAGTGAGTACACTGGTTAAAAGCAACATGAACTCTGGAGTCAGATTTCCTGAATCTTTATCTTGGCTTTTTGAATATTACATGTGTGACTCGGACTTAACCTCTGTGTGCTACAATTCCTTATGTAAAAATGGGAAATAATGATGAGTCAATCCACATACAGCATTAAAAACGGTACTAAACTTAGAGTAAGTGTTAGGGGGAAAAGGATGTCCCAAAGCAAATTCCATATAGGCTTTGTGGACTCCACCCCCACCCCAGGTCAAAGCCAAAGACACTGGGAACTCCAAATCCCATCACCACCAAAGGGAAGGTGGCTGGGACCTGAGGGTGGGGTTAAGCAGCCAGGTGGATACAAAAGGCAGATACATGGGCTTTGGGGGGCTCTCCATTTTTGGCTCTCCGCCAGCTCGCAGCGTCCGGCCAGCTCTGAAAGTGACTTTGGGTTTCCAGGTCTTTGGATCGGGTAGGACGCATTAAAGACTTTATTTCCCTATTTTCTCCCTGAGTTGTATATTTTCCTTATTTCTTTTTCTCTTGTAAATAAACCTTTTATTAACCCTTTTGCGTGTGTCTGTAGTAGAGTATTCATAAGTCCCTTTAAAGCGCGGGGGTGAGGACCCACAGCCAGGAACCCGTTTAATATCGGGGTTGCTCTATAACATAAGTACTTGATCATTTTTAAATACTACTTGTAAATGAGGATGTTCCATCAAAGCGTGGGGTTAAAAATAACGGTACAACTCCCATGGGTTTAGCAGATGCCAGAGTACCTTCTAAGAGGTTTACTTCTACTAAGTCAATTCACTTATGTAAGCACTGTTATATTCCGGTTTTACAGTGAAACAAGCCAACTACACAAGTAGATTAGTAAATGGAACATGAATTCTAAGACAATTTAATTCTGGAATTCCCACTCTTAACCATAATACTACACTATTCAGTTTGATTTTAGTATACCTTAACATTATACAACAAATTGATACCGGAATTGTCAAGCCTAGTCTCCCAGCCAGGAACGGATTCCTGGCTGCAGGGCAGTGCTGAGCCCCAGCCGCTAGAACCCCCACGGGTTGGTGTCTCAGGAAGCTGCAGCAGGGACTTCGCAGACGCTCAGGCAAGCAATCGAGAAGAGGCAGGGCAGGTTTGTTTAGAAAAAGTTTATTGAGGAGAAAAAGAGCAGAAATAAAGTGGGACTCCCAGGCCAGGGAACCAGGCCTGGGAGGGGCAAGGAAGCCAAAGTGGAGTCGTGTCTCAGGGAATATATACCTTTTTTCCCTCATTATTCTAAAGCTCCCCCAGTCTCTTTGTGATTGGTTAGTTCTCGGCTGTCTCACTTAATTTGCTACTGAGTGGGGATCTTCACATTCCTTATCTAACAGCTTTCTCTTTCCCCATTTGTTGCATCTTTAAATTTATGGCCCAGTCCTCTGGATGGACATCCCTGCATTGAAGTTAAACAGCTGCCCTTCTAAGTTGTCCTTAAATTAAACCACTGTCCATTTCTCCAATCTCTGCCTCCCTTTACCACCTGAAGGAAACCAGGACTAGCATTAACAAAGTTGTCCTTGGTCCTGAGATGTTTGTTTTTCCTAGTGGAATGGGTTACTTTCCCTTGGTTGTCCTTATCTCTGAAGCCTCCCTAAATTCTTCAGAGGTCCCTTCCTGCACTGTCCCTAAAACTGCCTAATTTCTAGCTTGCCCTGTGTCTCAAAATGAAACACATGTTTATATAAAAACAAGATGCATTATATATTTATACCCCAAGGAAAGGCATCCTCCGTGATAATTTTGAGTTATTAGCTGGTAAGGTATGTCTAAGCTGGAGAGAGAGTTGGAGTATTTTCTGTAAGATGGAATAAAATAAACTACTCTTGGCAAATGATTTCAAATGGGTACTGAATACCAAGTAATGGACCATAAAGAATATTTTTTGTCTATTCTGGATATTTTCTCTACCGCTTCTTATCTGTGAGTTTAAATGTCTCATAAAATCTTAACTCTGTAAAGAAGCAACTACCCAAATGTAACTTACCATTCCTATCTTAACAAAGTTAATTGTCTTTAATTTTCTTTTTACATTGTTATCTCAGATTTGGGTTTTATTAAAATATTTTGCTCACACACATACTTAGCTTTTATCATGTTTGTATAAATAAAAGTTTGTATTTCACTTGTTTGCTTCATGCTGTTCATGGTGTAGTAATTACTGTTATGTCAGATCTGATGTGTTTCTTTCATAAATTGGTTATAATCCAAATTAACTCATAATCAAAAATGTGAAAAGGTCTTAATATAACAATTTGCTAACCAGACATAGGAAGCAAAGTCATTGAAGATATATGTAAATTATGTGTAAACAAACTTTAGAGTCTTTCAAATAGGGGTTCAGATTTGATGCTGCCATTTGTTGGCTGTGTATACTTGAGCCAATTTCCTAATTGATGCAACATTAGTTTCTCAACTCTAAGATGAGAACAATGACTCCTATTTCCAAAAGTAGTTTTGAAAATGAAATAATATAGTATATTTTAATTGACTGTCACAATGCTTGGCACATAGTAAATACTTAAAAAGGTCCTATAGTGAATGTTAGTACTAGTGTTCCCTTCAATGAAAGAGTCTTTCTCAAGATGATTTCTAATTAGGGACCTATCATGAGTTTTGAGCTTCTCCCTGAAAACCCAATGGAAGCAATCTTAATGAATGCTTCCCTTAGTGTTATTAAAATTTTGTACTAGTGTATAATAGAAAATGTACCTCTTTTAAGTAGCTTTTAAGAACCTCTTGCATGTCCTGTTTTGGAATATAGCTAGAATTAAAGATTTATATTCCTTTTCCTTTAATGTTGAGAGGCAAAGTGTTAGAAAAAATTTGGAGTGAGATTTATTTCCTTGCTCCCTAATTTATTTAACTCTAACAAACCATATCATATTTCCACATTGATTTTTTTTCACAAGAAGAATATAAATTTAAGATCTTTGAATTCTGCAAGGAAGTAGATAGAATGCAATATTATTACTGACTTCCCAGAAGGTTGACTTCATATATTTCAGTATGCCAACTGCTATTGTTATATACTCTTTGTTAGGTATTCATGCTATCACCAAACTCACGAGTTCTGACAATTGTAAATAGCTAATTCCTCTTACTGTCCTTGGGATACTTACCTTCTCAGGGGAAGAGTTGTATATCATTTCAGAGCAAGTGAACCATTCATTTACTAAGGATTTCTTCCATTACAGGGAAGAGTAGCTGTCTCGAGTATTACTGTAATTATCTGTATGGGAATCCCAAGAATAAAGTAGATTTAATGGCATTTATTTTCTGACCAACAGGACAGTTTTGGCACGTGACTGACTTACATTTAGATCCTACTTACCACCTCACAGATGACCACAAAAAAGTGTGTGCTTCTTCCAAAGGAGAAAAAGCCTCTGATCCTGGCCCTTTTGGAGATGTTCTCTGTGATTCTCCATATCAACTTATTTTGTCAGCATTTGATTTTATTAAAAATTCAGGACAAGACGCATCTTTTATGATATGGACAGGGTAAGTGAATTAATGATTGAATATTTATAGTATCCTAAGCATCATTAGAATCTAAATTCCACAAGAAGATTAATTTTAAGAATTACTTGGGTTTAAAAACACTATGTCAAATTAATCAACATTTAGCTGATGGGAAAAAAATTGCTAATGGTGCTTTAGAATATACACTTTAGAAATAAGCTTATTTTAACTGCGGGATGAGTCCTGAAACAGCACACATATCGGTGTGTTGAGGTGCTTATTAATGTGAGAATAAATTGTGATTAAATAACTAAATACAAAAGGCAACAGTGGAAGTTAGTTGGTGATAGCAATTTTATAAACATCATCTTCTGGTGGTAGAATGAATTTCATCCATCATGACAGAGGAAGATGCCTATAGTCCCTGTTCCTAGAATAATGACCATGACCCTGTTTTAATAATTTATACATTGAAACTCATTTAATCTTTGTAGTAACTATTATTATTATTATTATTATTATTATTATTCCTCTATTACATTTGTGGAAATGGCACCTAAGTAACTTGTGGAAGTGTGTACAAGTAAGATGGTAAAGCTGGGAATCCAGGTATTTTGACTCTGAAAAAAATGCTTTAAATTACTCTACAGCTCTTATAAATCTTTCATAAGGTAATAAAATAGGTTGAGATTTCCAGTTTATCTTTGACATGATGCAGATTTTTTAAATAGCATTCTATGTGGGAATTCTTTTAGCTATTATGTGCTTTTTTATAGTGAAAGTCTGAAAGGTATCATATATAAATCTATTCACATTTTATAGAAACTTATTTTGTTTTCTATAATTCTGTCTTTTCAGGGATAGCCCACCTCATGTTCCAGTGTACGAACTCTCCACAGACACAGTAATAAATGTGATTGCTAATATGACAATCACTGTCCAAAGTCTCTTTCCAAAGCTCCAGGTTTTCCCTGCACTGGGTAATCATGACTACTGGCCACAGGTAATTTGATTTATCTTCCACAAATGCCTAAAGGATTTTTTCTTAAAGCCATAACTGCCAGTGCTAGGGCATGGGCGTTGATTCATGAAGGTCGTATGCTCTTAATACTAACCATGAAGGAGAGCGAGACAAATTTTGGGGGACTTTAAAATGACTCAGTAATTCATCAAAACTTGTATCCACAAGTGAATTTTCTGAAGCAAATTACTAGGTCTGTGGTTATTAATTCTTTTTCCTTCATTTTCTCCCTCAATTTCTCTTTTATTTTAAAAATGTTGTTCATTCACATTTCCATAAGGTTGATAAGGAAGGTTAATGTTGACAACTGTTTACATTTTTTCCAAATTTCCATTAGGTATACAAAGCTTTCCACATGCTGATGTAAACTAGCTTGTGATTAAAAAACAAAAAACATAGTCTAAGCATGAAAAAGGGAGGTCCATATTCAATCCCAGTTTATTTAAGTAAGATGTGATTCGAGGAAGAGTCTGTGTTGAGAATATTTAATGCCTGTGACAGCCTGGTTTTCAACCTGTCAGAGTGTAAAAGCTGGGTACCAGTTCTGCTTCCAGGGTCACTGTTAGTGGCATTGAATCTTAGACTTGTGCTGATTAAAGGCTCTCAGGAATTGTCATTCAGTCTAGGGACTGGCAAACTGTGGCTTCTGGTATAAATTGGACTTGCCACCTGTTTAAAGTTTTATACAACTTTATTTATTTGCACATTTCTGTAATGCATAATAGCTGGTTCACAACCACAAACAATCTTTCTGTATTATCTAGGGCTGCCTTTGTGCTATAAATTCAGAGTAGAATAGTTATGACAGAGACTAGATGGCCCATAAACCTAAAATATTTACAGTTTGATCTTTTATAGAAGAGTTTGATAGTCCCTGGTCTATATCAACTCTTCATTTTATAAATGAGAAGACTGAGGCCCAGAAATGGTCAAATGTTCATCACCAATTAGTGGATATATATCTTGTGTTCAGTTAGACCAGTATTCTTTCCCAAACACCTTGCTCTTGCCAGAATCACACGCTCAGTATTTCCTGGACATACTTACTTTCATGAAACTCTTTGTCTACATTTTTCCTTTTATTTAGAATGTCTTTTTCATCTCTTGTCAAAAGAATGCTTAATGAGGCTTTTGATTATATTTGGTGACCTAACATGAATACCATGATTTTGAAAAGCTACTCTAGGATAAGCTTAAGTTATGTCTTCTTGGCACTGGTCTCTAGTCTTGAGATGAATGATATGTGAGTCTTTTTGATTTGAAGTTTCAGCCAGTAGTCAACTTTTGTTAGCCCTCACAGTACAGAGGCTTAGCGGTGAATCATCTTCAGTATCTGGAGGTTACACTCATTATTTGTACATGCTCTTGGTGACACAGATAGGTGGGATTTAGACACATATTTACTAGAAATTAAAAGATTACCATACCCTGCTTCTCCTAGCCTGATCAACTTGGATAATGTTCCTAATCCATAGGTTACTTATTAGTAAATAGGAGCAATAATACCCATCTTGTAATTTTTTTGTCAGAATAAAAATAAAAAGAGCAAAGCTTCCTACCTGGCACATAATAAATCCTCAGTAAGTGGGGTGGTGAAATTTAAGCAGTGACTCCTTTGAGGATTTGTTTCATTTTCCTCTTGGTAAAGTCACAGTAAGTCAAAGAAAGATACAAACCAACTTCTGAAATATATTCAATTATATGCACAGACAGGGTACATTGGGCAGGCAGTATATCTTATACAGTCAATTTTTATCTGTTTCTAGCTTGATTTTATATTTCTTCTTTTTATCGTGGTACTGCTATTCTTCCACCCCAATTTCAGGAATGTCAAATGTAACATAACACCCCCACAACAATTTTTTTTAGAGTGATAGTAACACATTTGATAGATGTTATAGGGAACCAAATAAGACATCAGGGGGAAAAATGATAACAATACAAAACACAACACAACAAAACAAAAACAAACAGACAATTACAAACCAGAGACATCCTTCAGGGGAGGAGGAGGGAGAGGGATCAGAGGGAGGGAGAGAGGAGCACAGGGGACTGTGGTGATGGTGCACGGGTGCATTGGGGAAGGAAATTCTATGGGAACTACACCTGAGGTGGGGAGGAAGCAAACATTGTTTAAAAATGAACAATGATGTAAAAAACATATAAGTAAAATAAAATAAAAAGTAATAGGGTATAACATAAAAAAAATCCAATAGACATATCATAAACATAACTATATAAACATACATAGCCAGACCCATGTCCCACCCATTACATCAAAAGTGGCTATCAGTGTGAGCGACCCAGAAATTCCTTCCAGATGCCACCCAAGGCAGCAGCCTGGGCCAGGGTCCTCATTTACTCCTACACTAGCAAGACTGGTGCCCCCAAACTTATGGGTGGGTCTCTTCCCAGTATACTTCATATCTCAGCTGTGTTCATGTCATGGCTGAAAAGGACTAGACAATAGTTTGATGCAATAAATGATTACACATTACTCTTATGTATAATGGTGAAAGATCTGGGATTTAGACTCAGCTCTGGGAGTAACCAGCAGTTCCTGGAAAAATCATCTAACTTCTCTGGTGCTTATATTTCTTATATGTAAAATAGAGAGGAGGTCTGGAGTGGTTTTTATGTAATTTTAAGATTTATATGAACTTACTAATATTTTGGCATCCATCCTAAAGTACACAAATGGCTAAGACTTTGTGGGTTTTTTTTTTAAATTATGATTGTGATATTGATAATCACTTTTTAATTCAACAATAGATTGGCCTACACCTTTGTTTAGTTTTTAGACTATGACTGATCTTTGACAGAAAGTGAAACTATATTTTGGATAATTAGTTCCAGCTAAAACAAGTCATTTGGTTATTACTTTCCCTGTATTTGTATTTTCTTTTTTTTTTTTTAAAGATTGATTTATTTATGCATACAAGAGCTGGGGTACAGACCAGAGATGTGGTGGGGTGAGAGGATTCACCAGAGACAGAGTGGGGAACAGAACAGAGAGAATGGCTGAAATACACTGCTGAGGGGAGCAGTGGGTGAGTCAGGAGAGGTCTGCCCTGCCGTGTGTGTTGCTCCCTGGCCAGCCAGGGATCGAACTCATGCTGCAGAGGCTGTGGTTTGCTTCATAGTGTGGTGCTCAACACCTTGTGCCACCAGGGAGGCCCTGTATTTGTATTTTCACTGAGTATTAGGAACAGAAGTGACTTGGGCATCATACAGAAAACCAATAAAACATTTTAATTAATGTTAATAGGGAAACTTGTAAGAAATGAATCTATATCACTGCCATAGAGAAGGAAATGAGTGAAGGAAAGAGCTTCAGTTTTCTACTCTAATTTTTTAAAAGAAAAAAAAAAGCATAATTATCTGGTTTCACAAATAATTTCTGAATTTTTATTCAGTACTTAAATATTTTCCTTTTTCTTTCTTTCTCTTTTTTTTACATTTTAAAATGACAGGTTTATTAGGAAAAGGAGAAAGAAAAAGGCATTTGCATAGTCACAGGTGGACACTGTCAAAGATTCTTTTCTTCCCTAGAGTTTATATCACTATAGATATACTTCAGCATATGACACAATATGATGATACAAAGATAATTTATGGTAGTAAAAGTAATATATACATATATGGGTAAAAGAGGAAAACATGTTGATATGATTTAGGCTGACATAAAGAGACTTCTTTGAATCAAAAGCATATGGTTATAGATTTTCATTCAGGCAGTTAAAGAAAGCTTGAGACAAATGTGAACATTTCAGAGCACGTTGGTTGTAAAATCATGATGTCTTCCCCATTTCCTGGGCAAGCTGCACTAGGCCTGCATGTGCAAGCTCAAACCTGCTTTCAGTGTCTCTTTAATGAGCCCCTCCCACATCTGTCCTGTTCCCCAGCCATATGAAAACAAGTGCTTTGCTCAGAATATGGCTCTGTGTTCATGTCAGGGCCATTGTTTTGCTTAATGCCCTTTCCTGTCAACTTTATGGAATCATTATTCAAGGCCTAGTTCCCATGCTCTAATCACTTTCCTCCCTATCTGGGTTAGATTGGATTGTTCTTGCTTCTATACTCTCAGATCTTCTGTGGTAGCACCTAGTACGTTGTCTGATAGGTGACAGATTGTTTTGTCCCCCATTTTTCCAAATAAGTTATAAATTCCTTGAAGAGTACATCCATCTAGTATTAGCCCTTATATCTCCAGCTGCCTAACATGGTAGTAAGTGTGCTCAAGTGATGTTAAATTAGCTCATATAGGACCTCCCTGGTGGCACAAGGGGTTAAGCACAGCACTATGAAGCTATCTGCACCTCTGCAGCGTGAGTTTGATCCCCGGCAAGCCAGGGAGCTACCCATATGGTGCAGCAGACCTCTCCTGTATCTCCCACTGCTCAGCAGTGTATTTCAGTCAGTATGCCGGTTCTGTTCCCCACTCTGTCTCTGGTGAATCCTCTCATCCCCCACACTTCTGGCCTGTAGCCCAGTTCCCGTATGCATAAATAAATAAATCTTTAAAAAATAAATTAACTCATATATCTTTAACATTTCAATGGTGGCTTATATTGTTTGTGGCCAGGATCAACTGCCTGCAGCCAGCAGCAAAGTATATGATGCAGTAGCAAACCTCTGGAAACCATGGCTGGATGAAGAAGCTGTTGCTACTTTAAGGAAAGGTATGTGAATGATTTGCTCATCCCTATTTTTCTTCCATTTTTGTTAATATTGTTTATACTTGTATGTTTAGTATTTGTTTGAGTGTGCCAATTTTGGAGCACCTCTGCATCCAGTTTTTCTTAAATCATCCATCATGTTTAAAAGTCACCAGGAATATGGAGGGTGAGTAGGCCCAGGGCAAAGCAAGCAGGGACATCTCAGTGGCTACCTCTGAAAATGATACTGCCATAGACCCTTGGGTGTTAAGTCACCACTGGTTCACAGGTGTTTCTGACTATGCCTATAAATCCACCTCCACTGAGTCAGTAGCAGGTCTGGTTTATCTGACATCTCTTTTTCAGTTATCTCTGGCAAGAGCCCTGTGTAATCCCGTTCTTTTGATTCTGCATTTCAGAGTATCTCTTATCTTCACAATAACTCCCTAATTATACAAAAGGAGTTGATGTATTAGTATTCCTTAGGTAAGATTGTTTATTAGATACAACTGTTGTTCTCTCAGTGTGTAGAAGTGCGTGTTAGACCTGGCACATAGTAGTTTTCCAATGAATGTTTATTAAATCTAATTCTTAACTAATGACATCCTTCCATATGCAAACAAAACAGTAAGAAATAAGTCTAACCCTCTTCACTGGCTTGTAAACCTTAACCAAAAATTTGCTTTCACATTGTCTCCATATCTATGTTTTTCTAGACTGTGTTTGAATTTGTTTTTATAGGTGGCTTTTATTCACAGAAAGTGAATCCTAATCTGAACCTTAGGATCATCAGTCTAAACACAAACTTGTACTACGGCCCAAATATCGTGACCCTGAATAAGACTGATCCAGCAAATCAGTTTGAATGGCTAGAAAATACATTGAACATCTCCCAGCAAAATAAGGAGAAGGTAGATTCCATAGACCAAAATCATCAGGGGATAATCAGAGGGCTAACTTTGTGTATTTCTTCAACTTGAGGACAGTCAGGGAGTGATGAATATGTTAAAATTCCAAGGTATTTTGACATGAAATACCTTGCAATTTATCTCTAATTGTTGCTTGTTTTGTTTTGTTTTACTGCTTTGAAGATTAATTGACATCTGTTACTATAAAAAAGGCTGATGTAAAAAAAAGTTGTGGCCAAGTTCACAGTTACCTTATATCATCAACAGCAGGTTAAATGACAGAAAGCATATATAGTGATATTAAGTTTCCTAATTTTATCTTTTTTTGATAGTAAGTAGGAAAGATGGTATATTTGCTTTCTTTATTATGTTTAGTGTCATGCTTGAATATCTAAATGTCATTCAGTTATGATGAATGTGCAGAAGTGATTCTCATCCTCCCTCCTTGTGTTTCTCCCTCCAGGTGTACATCATAGCACATGTGCCTGTAGGGTACCTGCCCTTTACAAGGGACACCACAGCAATGAGAGAATATTATAATGAGAAATTGATAGATATTTTCAGAAAATACAGTGATGTCATTGAAGGACAATTTTATGGACATACTCACAGAGATAGCATTATGGTTCTTTCAGATAAAAAAGGTAATAAGAACTTCTGTTTCTATCTCTCTAGTTCAGCATAATGGAGCAAAGCAGTGAATAACCAATAATTTTTACTTAATTTATGATAAATTAAAGGTATCACTAAATTAATCTGCCAGCACCAGCCTTTTGTGATTTTCCTGCTAAGATTGTTTGCTGATGTGTCAAATCACAGTCAGACCTGCAACTGGGTTTAACACAAAGCCTCTGAAACCTTCAGCCCACTCAAATTTTCTTTCAGGTCTTCAAGTTAGAGAAATATAATTGTTTGCTGTTCACTGGCTAGTTTGTTTGTTTTTGCTATGACTTGTCTTGCTTCTTGCAATTTAAAGAGCAAAGCACAGTTTACCATTAGTTTTAAATAATATATGTCAAACTCTCACTTTTGTTCATTGATGCTGCCATCTCTTCAGCTTTAAAAGAAAAAAAATGGAAGAAACTCTAGCATCAAACAAAGTGATTATCTATTTGTGAAGTTACTTCTTCATGAGGGCAGAAACTGAGATTTAATAAAGTAAAAGTTCTGATTTTTAGTATTCAGCCAGGAGAAAAATCATATGTATTATTTTTGATAGGGAAACATTTTTGAACTGCCTCCCTCTTTTATCTACAGTGAGTAGCCATAGTTAAAAATGACCATTTTTCAGCATTGGATAGTATTTTTACTCAGAAAGAAATTTAATCCTCTAATAGATATGTATAGAAGATGTGCACTCTATAATTAAATTCTTATTGTGTAACTATTGCATTATTGTTTTAGTAACAGCACAGGACAAACTACTTTTTTGCCTTGTGTGCATGTGCACTTGTTTTGACTTAGATGTTTTTATTATAAAAAATTTCAAATTATATATAAAAGCAGGGAGAGTGATATACAAACCCCGATATGTTATTGCTTATATTCAACATCTCTCAAGAATTTTCCACATTTGTTTTACCTCTCCATTTTTATTCTTTTTTTTCTGAAGTATTTGAAAGTGAATCTCAAACATCAGATTTACATTACTGACATGTGTGGATAACTTGTATAATTAGAATACCATTAAGTTAATGACCAAAACCAGTAATTATTGTTTGGATCATCTAATACTAATTCTTAAAAAAGAAATTCCCTATTTTTTAAAAAGAATTTCTTTAAAGTTGTTTCAATTCATGATCCATCAAAGGTCACCATCATTTGGTGTTAATAACATTAATCTTTAAATCTGGAATTTGTTCATGTTTTCAATAAAGTGAAACACAGTTTTAAATACCGTATGCTTATGTACGTATATTTTGTCCAGGCAGTCCAGTAAGTTCTTTGTTTGTGGCTCCTGCTGTGACTCCAGTGAAGAGTGTTTTACAAAAAGAGACTAACAACCCTGGTGTCAGACTATTTCAGTATAATCCTCGTGATTATAAATTATTGGTAAGTTGGCCCAATTTCATAATTGACTCCATATTTATGAGTGTCCTTACAGTTTTCATTAGATTAGTTGTATGGTGTGGCTGTGAACTACATTTATATTGAAATCTCATGATACCTTTTATTATTGTATTTTTATAAGGTAATATTGATTTGTAATTAGGTATAGGCTCACACTTCTTCAGATGTATGTTATCACCTCTTCAGATGTATGTTATTACACCATATCCACTACCATGGCACCTTGCCCCCTGGTAGCTTCAGTTGTACAATCACATTCTAGGATTTGTTTGATTTTGTTTTGTGTGTTCCTTTGTTTTGTTCCTGTATGACCCACATATGAGTGAAATCATTCAGTATTGGTCTTTCTCCTTCTGGCTTATTTCTGTTAGCATAATCCTCTCCACTTCTTTTCATGTTGTCACAAATGGCAAGAGCGCATCTTCTTATAGTTGAGCAACATTCCATTGTACACACACACACACACACACACACACACACACACACTGCTTTATCCATTCATCCCCCCCTTGGGTCTTAGGTTGTTTCCATAAGTTGGCTGGAGTAAATAGTACAGCCTGTGTGTGTGTGTGTATATATATATCCCTTTGAACTAAGTATTTTTGTTTTCTTTGGGTAGATAGGTGGAATTGCTGAGTCATATGATAGATCTATTTTTAATATTTTGAAAAACCTCTATCCTGTTTTCCATAGGGGCTGGGCCAGTTTACGTCTTCACCAAGAGTGTATGAGGGTTCTGTTTTTCTCTCTACATCCTTACCAGTTTTTATTGTATCTGTCTCTTTGTTATGGGCCATTCTCACAATGACAAAGGAAATAAAAGTAAAAAGCAAGCAACTGAGAGAACATCTTTCTTCTTTTTTATGTTAGGAATGCCAGCACTTTCCCAGTGTGGACCGATGAGGCTAGTCATCTGGAGGCTGTCCTTCTAAGGATTTCATGTTTATTTAGATAAGGTTTCATTGGATAGTGCTTTATTTGTGGACTTGTATGAATATGGAAACTTTTCACTAAGTTTTATTTGTTATTAACTGCATAGCGGTGAAGGAAAGTATAGACTGAAATTACAATCTCTCGTGAACTGTATTACCAACTTCTTTGTTCTAAGCTATTCCTCTATAAAATGGGGATTCAGGGCCTTCCTTGTGGCGCAAGGTGTTGAGCACTGCATTCAATGGGGTTAAGCAGTCCGCAGCCTCTGCAGCATGTTTGATCCCTAGCCGGCCAGGAGCAACCCATATGGCGAAGCACCTCTCCTGTCTCCCCCGCTGCTCCCCTCAGCAATATATTTCAGTCAGTCTGCCTGTTCTGTTCCCCACTCTGTCTCTGGTGAATCCTCTAACCCCCCCCACATCTCTGGCCTGTACCCCAGCTCTTATATGCATAAATAGATAAATCTTTAAAAATAAAATAAAAGAAAATGGGGATTCAAATTTTACTCACTTCACTGAGTTATGTGAGGATTGCATGAAACATACATAAAGCACTTAGAACAATGCATGATTCATAGTAAGTACCCAACACACGTTGGCAAATATTAGTGGAAAGAATATAGATTAAGTTGGACATTTATCTTTAAGATAAATGTTCTTTGAAACTTACAAAAAACTTTATGCTTTGGATCAATTTATCATGGACAGGTTGGGCATTTAGCTAGTGGTTACTGCCCCTTTCTACATATAGAATTTGAAAAGGATTTCTCAAAGCCTGTTGGTATAGCTGCATTTTCTCCTAGGTAAATTTGATAGGTGGCAACTCTTATTTTTTATAGCATGTTTTTACAAAGGTGATAAAATGAGGAAATAAAACAAGACTAATAAACCAGTCCCACAGAATTCTCTTACAACTATTAGTTGCTTCTTTTTTGATCTTGACCTCAGATACACATGTGCATGTATGCATGTATGTACTGATATGGAATGATGTCCCTTATAGCACTAAGTTTTTAAAGTACAAAATAAAAGTGTAAAACAGCTGTATAAGGATTCCATTTAAAAAAATAAAAATGATAATAAATAGGTATATTATTCTAAATGTATACTTGTACATAAAGTTTGGAATGCACATAGCAGTACTGATAAATATCTAACAGCTGGTTCACTAGGCGAAAAAACTGCTTTGATTTTTAGTGTTTTCCAGTTTCTGTAAAATGAATAGTTGCATAATGGTCAGTTTTAAGCTGCCAAAATGATATCCACCTGTCAAAATATTAATAAAATTTGACAGTCAACTCTTTGAGCTGGTGCAAGCTGCCTCCAGTACACTCCAGTTTTATAAACAATTATTAACAGTGTTTACTTCAGAGGTACATGAATTGAAGGCTTTTATTTTTTTACATCTCTCTATATAGTTTAGATTATTTTCTATTATGTTCTTTCATTATTTCTAAATGAATAAAGTAATATATGCTATTGGAACTTTTTCTTTGCAACCAATTGTCACTATTTTTTCAATGACTACAACTTTAATAATGCTAAATAAATCATTATAAGGATGTTTTTGCTGTGCTGTGCTTTATATGCTGAAAACTGAACCTGGCTTTCTCCCTCTTTCTAATTATAGGATATATTGCAGTATTATTTGAACCTAACAGATGCTAACCTAAAGGGAAATGCCAACTGGAAGCTGGAATATATCCTGACCCAGAGCTATGACATTAAAGATTTGCAGCCAAAAAATGTGTATGGATTAGTTAAACAATTTGCAGCCTTAGACAGTAAGCAGTTTATAAAGTATTATAATTACTACTTGGTGAGTTATAATAGCACTATAATTTGCGATGAGATATGTAAAGCCAATCAAATTTGTGCAATTATGAATCTTGATCATATTTCTTATGTAGATTGCCTCAAAGAATATATAAAGCATAATCCATAATGTTTCACAGTTTGTGTATAAAAAATATAGCATTGCTTTTCTCTGTTTCTGAGATCAGTTTGTGGGAACTGTTATTTAAATCCTTGTGAATTACTGAGTGGGTAGGCAGAATTCTTTCTCTTTTCTTTTTTATGATGCCCATATATTGATATTTTTAGCATTCTAAATTTTTATTATGTTGAATATGTTTAAATCACCCATTACTAAAGGAATGTTTGGATGTAAATATCCTGTCTTCCAATTTATATAATTATATCTAATTTATACTCTTGTTGAAATTGTCACTTATACAATAAAGCAAATGACTTCTTCCTAACTATGATGAATTATTCTTAACAGGATAAGTTTCTCTCTTTTAATTCTCTCATGTTAAAAGATCACGTGAGCTGAATTCTGAAGTAGTTAAATGTCACTTGTTAACTAAAGTTAGCATTGTTTGCATGTACTCTCTACTCCTGGGAGGATACCAGGTATCTTTAGGACCCTGTTTGAGTCTATAAAGCTTCATGGGGCACGTATTTTCAGTCTTCACTCTGGGAGTGAAGTGGAGTTGTTTTTAGTACAGTTAACTTTTAAGGAATAGAATTTCACAGGTTGTACTTATTGTAATTGTGCTCCTAGCACAAGACCTAGGTCCTAGTGTAGCGTCTAACAGTAAATAACCGTTGAAGTGAATTGTAAGGTATGTTTTGCAAAGAAATACGCTAGGACTGCTGTCACAGTATTTTCTTTGTCACCATATCTCAAGAGAAGATGAAAATGAGTTTTTAATTTATGGCATTTTTTTTAAAGCCTCCCCTGTGGCTACTTGCTTACCTCAAGCTTTTGTTTCTAGACTATGTGGGATATTATGAGTAGAAAAGATGAGGATGATGATGAAAGATTTAGGGGAAGAAAATTTGTATGCCCAAAACTTTAACTTGCTGGAAAAGACATACAATCAGCAACCTTAGTCAACCAACCAGGAGAGTAGGACTCATCACCCTTGCAACTGGTTTGACTTCACATAAAAGATGACTAGTAGATGTTAGATTTCATCATGATGAAACCCAGTTCTCATTTCCAGAAGGCTGAGAAAAAGAGTGTTACTATTGTAAGAAATTATCAGTATTCCTTAAGTAAACTTTTTTTATTTTTTAGGTTTAAATGTAAATTAATATTTTTAGAAATAAGAATGCTGAAACAAAGCAAAAATTCATTATCATGAAAATTAACATCCTATAGAAATTATCCTGCCTGTAGTTATGTTCCAAGTTGGAATTATCAGGTCACTACATTGGATATTTATATATACTTATGGATAGAAATCATAAGAAAATAGGCTTGTACCACATAAAATAATTTTTAATGTGAAAATCAAAGATTTCATGAGCTGACTCAGTGAGTCCTAGTATTGGAAATGAACATGCTTGGGCTTGTAGAGTTATCGTGGAGAAAATCCCTATGTCTGTTGGGAATTTGGGGCAGAGATGATTTAGGGTACTTCCCATATAATTCTGACGTTTAAAATTGTAATGTTATCTTCTTGTATTCAGTTTGCTTTCACCTTCAAATAGTAATATATGAGCTTTAATTTCAGATGACATTAGAAGTTATCAATAGTTAAATGAATTTTTCCATACTAAAATCAGAGTATGATTATGTTCAAATATATAATAAATTTTATTGTGTTTATAGTAAAACTTCTCTTGATATGCCTCTACTGATTGTATTTTGGAAAAATCATTAAATATATCCTATTTAGATTTTTAAAACTATTTCTTTGAGACCAGTTTGGTTTCAATATTTAGCCACACATTTATTTTATTTTTTTTTTTTTTAAGTTTTTTATTTATTTATTTGTTTGTTTGTTTGTTTGTTTGTTTGTTTATACATGCACTGGGTACAGTCAGAAGCGCGGGAGGGTGAGAGGATTCACCAGAGCCAGAGCGGGGAGCAGAGCAGGCAGAAGGACCGAAGTACACTGCTGAGGGGAGCAGCGGGCGGCAGGAGAGGTCTGCGCGCCATGTGGGACCCTCCTCCGGTGGCCGGGGAGCAGCCGGGGATCGAACCGGCGCTGCAGAGGCCGCGGGCAGCTTCGCAACCCAGCGCTCAACCGCTGCGCCACCAGGGAGGCCCTAGCCACACATTTATAAGAAGGGAGTAAAGGTATGGAATTTGGAAGAAAGTCCACTGACTTGGGTGGATAGAGAGAATTATGATTATTAGGAAATAATATATTTGAATGAATTTTTCCATTCATAATAGAAATAATCTTAGTATTATAAATGGGTTGGCTAAATTGAATAGGCATCTCCCATCTTACATGAATGCAGTAGAAGAACCTGCTTAGTGAAGTCAGCTGCCCCTCTAGTGGTGTCCCAGCATGTCATCTGATCTTAATATCTAGACCCTGGGGAGTGTTCTACTACTTACTCTAGACTCTTGGAAATAGCCTGAGTCCTTGGAAATAGCCCTCATATATTGTCACAGCTTCTTTGAGTGACTCTTTGATGAAATAAATTTTGTGTCAAAAGGAGAAGGTTAGAACTTCACTGGGCTAACAGTATAGGTAAAGCGACTAGGACTTGTTTGCATTATTAATGCCATCAGATAAAATTCTGGAGGGAGAAGATGATGGTTTTTGTCTTCCTCTAACTACCTGTATCTTCCAATAGAACTAAATAACTACAAGTAACTACATTGGGAAGTTCTACAATAGAAAGCTGAAGATGAAATTCTCTTTTGCTTAGTACTTTAATCTTAGGAGTACAACTAAGAGTAAACTCTCAAAAGTATACAGAAGAGTCATATATAAAAATGTCTATGGTTGCATTGATTATAATAACAACAAAATGTGACTCACTTAAACATGTATCAATAGGAGGAGAATGGATAAATGGAATAGTTTATTCAGAATTTAAGAGTATAATACAGTAGTGAAAATTAACATGAATAAGTACCGTGAGCATAATAATGAGTGAATAAACAAGTTACTAAAGGATAAATACAATATATGGAATAATACCATTTATATCAAATTTAATGCAAAAGTAATATCTATTGCTTAGAGCAATATGGAGTATAGAACAATAAGTTTGACTTCCTAATACAGCTAGTGACTAGTTAGATGTATGCTCTATTTTTCTTTAACTGTTATATATATTAATATTATATAATCACTCTTTGTAAGGGGAGTTAGAGATCCAGACTTCAAAAATGATTATTTTGACTTTTCTATGGAGAATGACTTAGAGTGAAAGTATGGGCACATTGGGAGACTTTGAAGTAGTCTGGTTGAATGGAGACTGTTGGTGGATTGGGGTGGGGGCTGTGGAGAGAAGTGGCCAATATTGTGACATATTTTTGAAATAGCAGAGCAGGATTTGTTAATGGTGTGGATCTAACACCATCAACCAAGAGAAACCAAGTACAAAGAGAAAAACTAACTCCAAATTTTTGACTGCAGCAACTGGTAGATGGTCATGTCATGCCAGCACTGGGATTACTGGAAGAGGAGAGGGCTTTTGGGGAAGCTCTGAGATGAAAGTACAAGAGATGAAAAGTATTGCTGCATTTTGATGCTAACACAGGCTACTCTCATTAAACATTTTGCTATTCTAAGGATCTCTAAATTGAGGATATTAGGATTTTTTATGGGTGTGTGGTGATGGGTGTGGTGTGGTAACAAACATCTGAAGAGGTGTGATCCTATACCTCTGAATCATATACAGTTTTGTAAAACCAATGTTACCTAAAAAAATAAATAACCATCTTGAGCAAGACAAATTCTTCCTTTAAATAAGTAAAATAGAAGTTTCCTAAGAAAGAAGTCACACCAACTCAGGTTCTACTAATATAATGTTTTTACACATTTAAAACTTGCTAGGAATGAACATGACTTATAGAAATTTCCTCCTGCTATAAAATTCCTTAGTTGTGTTGCTTCTTGAAGCAAAGAGTATAATATAGGTAACCACTCAGTGGAACAATCAAGGAAATAATGAAAAGGTAATGTTTAGTTCACAACTCCAGTTTTTCAGGGTATACTTGAAGTTCCTGTTTTAGAAAATTATCTTTGTTCAATAAAGAACATAATTCAGCATGCTTATTTTTTAATAAAATGAATTGTTTCCACAATGGATGTATCTTCATTTGCAAATTAAATTTGTATAAGAGTTCTTTGATTTTGTTGTAAAGGTGGGGTGTTTTGCATTCTAGCCTCTTAAAAGTTTTGTGTTCTAAACTCATGAGTTAGGAAAGTGGCATGGGTATCCCCTGACCAGTGCCTGTTAAGCATAGGACTGTTTTTCAAGCAGGGCCAGAGATTAATGTGGCTCCACTGGTACGACAGTCTTTGTTCCTGCCTCCAGAACAATTCTCTCTTTCCATTACTAACCAAATTGAAATTAAAATAGACTGTTAGTTTCTAAACACAATGCAATTATCCAATTTGTCACCTTTGCTCGTGTTCCTTTTTTCAGTCTAAGCTGCCCTATTTCTTTTTCTGCCCAATATTATTTTTTTTGAAAGACCCAACACAAAAATTACCGCTGTTGTCAAAAATTGTCTAACATGGGCCTCTCTGCTGGCGCGAGGGGTTAAGACGCAACCTGTGAAGCTGTCCATAGCCTCTGCAGCACGAGTTCAATCCCCAGCCAGGGAGCTACCCACATGATGCAACAGACCTTTCCTGACTCGCCCGCTGCTCCCCTCAGCAGTGTATTTCAGTCAATCTACCTGTTCTGTTCCCCACTCTGTCTCTGGTGAATCTTCTCACTGCCTGCATCTCTGACCTGTACCCCCGTTCTTGTATGTATAAATAAATAAATCTTTAAAAAAAAATAAGAAAGGTTTAAGATGAAAACGTTTTACTCAGAACAATCTATATCCTGAAATTTATTTATGCTAAAGTGAAATGAGTTGATTAGTCAGTCATCCTGCCTGACTGAGGCATCCCGATTCCAGTTTAAAAAGGAGGGTGGACTCTGGCTCTGGCAGGTTGGGAGAAGGGACCTGAGAAGAAGTGTGGGGATTTTGCGACATAAGAGAAGGGTAGCATGTCCTCTTCTGTTGTGGGCATGGTTGTTGCAGTGAGGAGGGCTTAGTGAGCATGAGGTCACGGAGAGGTGATATGATAAGGTGATGAAGGTCAGGGTTTCTCGTTAGAGGCATTTGATATATGAACCCAGCTCCTCCACAAAAGGTACATGACTTTCTGAAATTCAATTTGCCTCATCTCATCTATTAAATGAGTTACAAGATCATCTGATTTATAACTGGTGGGGATTAAATGAAAGTGTAAATTATACAACTCAGTTTCTGGATATGGTAAGCTTATGAAAACATCATTGGCATTAGTTTTAAGATTAGTAGGTGCCCAAAGCGAACAGAGTGAATTTGACAGGAAATAGAGAAGTATAGAATATGGAGGATGAAGTAAAGGAAAGCAGAACCTCATTCTTTTCAAAGCAGCTCTAGGAAATATTCAGTTTATATACAAGTGAAGTCTTAGCCATTGTAGGGTTATAGCAGGATTATCTCCACAAAAATGTAGGGGATTCCTTTATTGCTCCAGTCACTGTGCTAGGCACTAGGATTACAATTAATTACACTAGTCAACAAAACAAATATTCCTGCTCTGGTGAAGCACTTGTGTAGTGTGTATGTGTGTATAAGTTAGTGGGGAAACTTTGAGCCATACCATACACAATTAAAGCTGTTTTAACAATTAAAACATTTTTAACAGGATTGCCTTCATTACAATGAACTTCAATCCCAGAGAACTAATTACTGGGGGCTGTGACTTGAATGTCACAAAAGTGTCAGAACTAGTGACAACTATATTACAAAGATGTCCACTTAAGTCTTCAATATTTGGGAGGAATGATGACAAGTTGCTAAAATGATTGCTTTATCTAAAACTCTGTAATTGCATAAGCATAGAATGGTTATCATGATATATAGAACTGAAACCTATTTTCTGATGAGATGTCAGGTAGATTTTATTATTTGGCTGACCAATATTGAGGTGCTTATCAGATACTTAGAAGATTCTTTCTATGTACACGTCTTGAGGTAATTTATTCTCAGATCCTTAGACAGCAATGGAATTATTCTTAGAACAATGACTGGTGTTACTTGGAGCATTTTTACTCTATTGTTCATTTATCTTCTTTTCTGTGAAGTCCAAAAATCGCTGCCAAGTGGTGTCAAAGCACCATAGCAACAGCCTCAGGTAGTTTCTATTCACTTGGAAATTCATTAAGCACCTTTCCCCTTAAGATCTAGCTTCTTATAATCCTTTATTTTGGTGGGAAGATTTGGTCACATTGATTTAAAGATATATGGATATTAAAATCCTTTAGAAATAAAAATGTTTAAAATATTATCTTCTCATTATTATATTTTAATGATGTATTAGCTATACCAGAAAGAACCAAAAAGCTTCACTTGAAATCTGTCTGCTTTTAATAAGAGAATGTTTATGATGCTATTAATCTTCTTCAGTTGAGCATGATATTTTACAGAATGTAAAGTGGGGGTTCCTTTGTTTACATGCCACAATGTGTTTAAATTGCTTATATTCAACAATTATTTTATAGAAAATGGAGCAGTGAATTCATATATTTATTGAT